TTATTAACACACAAGCCGACACCCACCAGTTCTCATTCCCACAGAAATTTGTGAGCGCCACCTCGTACCCGAATAGCCTGCTATGATTTTTGTTTGCCCTTGCTGAAACCTGGCTCGGCCATGCAAAAATACATTGGATCACAGCGTTTGACGCATTTGGGAGGCCTTGCTAGTTAGGGCTCTTAACTTGGGGGGTTTTTTTGCTCAACGGTGTGATTTTGGAGTGTGAAAGTAATGGTTTGAGGTTGTCCGAGTAGAACAACTGCTTTCTGTTCTTTCGAATCCCAACGTAGCACAGAATTCGGAATTTTGGGGCATATTTGCGTGCGAAGCTGCCAATGTTCGAGGAAATTAAAGAGAGTGGGAGGACCAGTGCACCGGCTCCCCTTTATTTGAGAGAGATTCCGAAGCATATCTCGGCTTTAACAGTTCTTTTCGCTGTTGCACCATCATCGTTCATGCCCAATTATTGCATTGCATGTTATTTTTGCTGCAACCGTCACACTGACGAGGTCCAGTTGCAGCACTGAACGGGGATGTATGCGATTTGATGGACCGAAACATTACTGTTCAGATTTTTATTCAGATTTTAATTTATTCACATTCCCCTTTTATTCCCTTACTTCTTACATAAACACATACCATCTAAAATTAAAATTACAATTGCAGTCTAGTTCCAGTGCCGGCCAGATCATTCTGTTTTCCAGCAGCTGCTGAATGAATCTCATTTTTCTCTGGTTATGGTTTTATGATGCTAAGCAAGAAGTTAAGTGAAAGCCGATGAAAGCTTTGTGAATTCGCATTCAAAATAGATAGAGAGCTGGAATTTTTTTTTTTGGTGAGCTTAGCTGGGCAAGCATATGTTAAATCATTGCCTTCTTGTAGGTACCAAGTCTGAGTAGGTGGAAAGTTAACATTATATTTTTATAAATTCGTAAACTAAAAAGCTAGAAAGCTGAAATTTTGTAAGCTTGTCCCATAACAATGTGCGCGTAATTATGAACATTGTTAATGGAACTCTTGCGTTTTACAAAGCAAGCAAGTGGAGGTTGGGAAAAGAAAACTTCCTGAGTTCTAAATGACTTCGCTAAAAACACAAGTTCGCACCGACCTGCTTACTTACTACTTCGGCGGATGTGGTACGCATCACGTATGTCCGGTAATTTGAATTATTTTTTGCGTTGTAGAAACATTGGTCACGAAAGGCTAAAATGCAGTGATGTTGCTTCGCACCCGGACAGTGGCCATTGCGATTGTTCGCGGTCTGTTGCGTCCACGGCCAAACATAGCATTT